AGTAGATGACACTTCTTGAGGTTGAAACAAAAGAGCTATTTCTGTTCTTATCTTGAGTTGCAAGTACTGAGAACAAATTTCTTTTTACTTTTGGCACATCTGTAAGTTTAGCAGTTTGCCACTTTCACTTGAAGATGAATAATTCCTTTTCCAAATGCTTCTACAGTATCACCATTTGCAACACATAATTTACTCGGTTGAGAAAATTTTTCAAAACTTTGAAATATGTCTCTTCGGAAAGTTAGATGACACGTTGCACCATTGTCAAAAAACCATTCATCAGTGTATGCTGACTCATCAATTGCAAAAACACTTGATTCCATAACAACTAGTGACTTATTGTCATCGCGTAGATTGTTATTTCTTGGTTTTGCTGGTCTACCATCAGAATGCCATTTTTCACAATTTCTTACAATGTGACCTGGCAATTTGCAATATTGACATATCAGTCGCTTTGGTTTGCTGACAAATTTATCTTGTTTTTGACCATTCATGTTTAGTGATGACCTTTTAGTTGTTGCTTTGACAAATAATACTTTATTACATTCTGTTTTGCTTTCCAAAGATCTCTCATAGCTACACAGTTGATCTGTGAGTGTTTCGACTGTACTTTCAGTCTTGTTCAACAATCTCCAACTTGCAGCAAATGAAAAATATTTTTCTGGTAAAGTTTCACTTATTTGGCACATCAGCAACAATTCACTGTTTTCATCTTTTACTAACTCAACCTTTAAATCTTTCCAAAGATTCTTGAGTTTTGTGACATGAGTGACAACATCATCGCTTTCATCTATTTTATAACTAAAAAACTTCATGCATAAGTTGTATGCTTTATTTTCATTAACTTCATCATACAATCTTTGAAGTTCTAACCAAACATCTCTGGCATTACTGAATGAACGAACTTTTTCATACGTTTCATCGGTCATGTTGGTTGACAGAACAATCATAGCACTACAATCTGCTTTATTGAATCTGTTCAAAGCAGTTTGATATTTTGCTATCTCATCTTTATTTGAGTCATCGTTTGATTCATCTAGAACTTTTAATTTACCATTTACTACATCCATTGCATCAGGAATGCCACGTAGTATTATACAAACCCTCGATTTCCAGTTCAACCAATTACTTTTGCCTTCTAGGTGTTTGATTTGCACTTTTGTTAAATCCATTTCTTCCTTCTTTCAATTTCACCTTTTAATTAGAAGCAAAATATCAAATTTCAGAGAATGAAGAAGCACGTGCTTTCTCTTCACTTCAGTCTTCACAGAAGAATCTTCCGATATTTCTTTATTCTAAATTTTCTTCGTCAAATCAATTAATTATGAATAACGTTATCTGGGTCCCATAACCTGTTAAATTTCTTGTCACGTAGATTGTTTAATTAATTGATTGATATAATATTGAAAGACATTAAAAGAAAAGAAATAAACTAAGCAACGTTCTCGACGTTTATTATCAACAGAAAAGGAAAAAGTGAAGTTACATACAAAGCAAAGAACATTTGGTCCAAAGAAAAATAAATGTATATAATAAATCTTAATGTTTTAATATAAAACAAAACTTAACAATCCCAAAGAAGTCCTGGTCGCAAAAAATCGAGCAAGACATGAAAGCTCTAAATTTAAATGAAATTGATACAACTGATTGTGTAATTTGGCGCAAAAAGTTGATGGCAAAGAAAACAACGTCCTACCTCGGATACTAAAAGTTGTCGAACCCATGGGAAAAAAAATAATAGAAACTTCACACTGTTCGACCCTGGTTCATAATCCTTTTTGACTCCCAGTCACGTACCGTGTATGTTTTACGACTCACAAGCAACAATATTTGGTGAACCCTGCCTGTATACCAATTAACATGCCAATTAACTTCAGATCTCTACAGATGTTCCTCTGATGAGTTTTATAATGAATCGCTTCAAGTAGGTCTTTCATGTTGCTATATGACTTTCAGGTGGATGAAATGGCCAATGGGAATAATTAATTTCACATTTCCATTATGCAGCAGGCATGTCGATTGATAAATTAATAAAATATTTGTTTCAACAAAAGAATCTAAAACGTAAAACATAATTATAGTTATTATTAGCATATGTTGGAATAAAATCAAAAACAGAAAATTGCACTAACCGGCTATTGAATATTATAGGTAATAAATATCTTACAATATAATCAATTATTATATGTCTTTCGTTATGTAAATAATTGGTTAATTCAGAGGTGGGCAAACTACAGCTAGCGGCCGCATGCTGCAACCCGCGAAGCTATTTTATGTTGCCTGTTCGCCTGGGTTAACTATATGAATAGTTAACTGCACAGATATGTTAGTTAGTTATTTTGGTTCGTTAGCTAACAGATGAATAGCCAGAAAGGTTTTGAATTAACTTTATATTTCACTTTCGCAATGCTCATTCGGTAATAAAACGACTCATCCAGTGGTTTTATTATAAACTAAAACACTTTCAGGTTTATTTCTTTTTCACCTATTTAACCTTCGCAAGACTCGTTCAGTAATAAAACCACTTTCCTGATTTTTTATAGTTTCAAAAGAAAAACCGAATAAGAAATCACCACTTTCTTTTTATTGACAAAGTCTATTGGTAGTTCTTGCCGATTTTTGCGTATGAGTCCCCAAATTGCGTTTTTGCATTTCTTGCAGCAATTCAAAGGAAAAGAAAAATCATTCAATACAATAATTCTGCCAATATCTTGGTGCTCTGTTAAATCAATAACTACTGGTTTTCCTAAGTTTTTAACTCGTTCAGTCCCATTATTTTTACCTAAATATGGTTTTATTTTCAAACAATAATCAGTGCTAGCATCACACAAGCACAAAAATTTTATTCTATAATTTACTGGTTTAGAAGGCATATATAGTACAATGTACAACGCCCTCGAAACAATACTAGAGTTTCATCTACATTTACTTATTCACGTGGAATGGTTTCGATAGTTTTCATAACCACATATCAAGCTTTGTTTCCTTACGCCGAGCACTTTGACTACTAGTCAAATCGAACTGGAAAAATTTTGTAGTTTTTTCAAATTCTTGACATAAATTGGTTGATTGACGACCTTCTGATCTTAACTAAGTTCTTCGCACTGATATTTTTTTCTTTATATACTCTGATTAAATAATTACACTTATGAAAATGTTTATTTCTTTCTTGTTTATAACATAATTTGCACCCAGACTAGTAGTTTTTTCATTTTTGCACTCAACAATAATGTCAATCCATGAAAATTTACCACTTTGAGAGCAGTGTTTTTCAATGCCGGCGTCCATAAACCCTCAATCCTCCAGCTGCTCTCATAAGATTTACCGATTGTCTCTTTCCAGTCAAAAATGGTTTCGATTTCTACACATTTTTATATGTTCCACAAGCTCTTTCAATCACTGAATCTATGCATTCTTCTACGTGTTTTTCAATATCATTTGTCATAAAAGATTTTATAATTCATCATCATAGTCATCATTTAAAGTCATTTTCCCATCCATTAAAACTTTTGTAACATTTTCAGCAATAAGAGATTCAATGGATTCAATTCATGTTTATACTCGCCATCAGATAAACTCCACTTATTTCGGAGTCGTCATTGTCACCAAAATTTTCAAGAATAGTACCTAAAGCTATTTGAGCTGAACTGAGACAACGAGACTAATATTGAATACTAAATATTGAATACTAAATATTGAATAATATTTATTTCAAATTTTAAAATTATAACAAAATCAAAACAAATCAGTTTCACTTTTGAAATACAAATCCAAATAATAATATTTTTCTTGGTTCAAAAATATCATATAATATTTTAAAACTTGAATTTATTGTTCATTTGTTTATTAATAATAAAGTTCATTTAAAGCAAAATAAATAATTTATTTTAAAAATGATATTTTACACTCTGCCGTCTTCAACGTTATTTGTTTTTTTTGTTGTTTAAAGGGTTTAAAATCAACACTGACATGTATAAAAATATAACAAAATTACAGAATATCATTTATGTAAACAAATAGAAAAAATTACATTTTTTAAAAATGTCAATATAATTTCCTTAAGTCACATTAACAGCTGATAGTTATAAAGTTTGCAAATTTTATATTACTTTTAAATTACTTTTTATCATAGTTAAGTTTTGTTTACAATATATTTAAATTTTAAAACAGAGGACACACTGTGAAAGCTGTTTGTGAATCATTTGAAATGGCTAAAAATGCCGGTGAGAATTTATAAAAATTATATGATTCATTTAGTCTATAATATTTAATGTATTTAATTTTTTAAGTTACGTTTTTATCATGTTTTAATTTCTTAAAAAAATTGAAAACTCAACTTTTAATTTTAATTGCAGGTTTCAAGGTCGTATCCCATATGATGCCTGACTTGCCCAATATTGGCATGGAAAGAGACATTCATCAATTTGTCGTTAGTTTTCATTAAAAACGAAAAAAATTTTGTTTGGGGGAGCATGAAATAAAGAACTTCGACATTAATACATTTTTTTGTTGTGAACTTTTTTAGACTCCGCGTCATGATGGCATCGATTTCTTTTCGGATTTTTTCTTTTCAATTATAAAAATTTAAGAATGAAATTGCTTCATTTTATATTTTATTGTCAATTTCTTTTCTTCTATTTATTTTATTATTATATATTTTATTCTATTTTATTTTTCTTTCTTCGTTTTTGCTTTTATTTATTTGTTTAATTTTGTACTACTGCCTTGCATGCTGTAACAGTTTCTGCGTCTGTCAGACCCTGATTTTTAAAGAATAATAATAAAAAAAACCTTTTTCATTAGGTGTCCCTAAAAAAAGTTACAAGAAAATAAATCTCGTAATCACAGACAAATTTGTGTTAGGCTAATTTGAACTCAATCACCAAATTAGTTGGGCTGCTTCTATCTTACCGGATAAAATTTTTTGCAACTGTCATTGTAGTTAATTTTATATAAAATTATTTGCAACTGTCATTGTAGTTAATTTTATCCTTTTAGGTCACCATATTTTTTTGAGTGTTTTCTTTTTGATCGTAGCGTTTGTAATCTTTTCATATTTTTTTTAATTAATTGGTGTATTTTATTATTGAAGGAGTTTTTTGAAAATCCATTATTTCGTCCCGATGGTATGAAATTATATCCAACGCTAGTGATTCGAGGCACAGGTGATCACATTATTGTTTGTATTTTTTTATGTACTAAATGTATACTTTTTTGAGTGGGTGGTTTGTTGATTGCTTTTCCTTTTTTTTGTATCTTGTGTTGTATGCTATATTTTTACGTGTTGTATCACTCTGATTCATAAATTATAATATTTTTGTATTTATTTAAAATATCCTCCGAGGAACGTTTACGAGTAAATTAAATAAATAAATATTCTTCATAATCCATTGAGCAGCCATCTTGCCACAAAGACTGTTTATCCTTTTCACACGACGTACACATGTATTCATGTGCAAGCGCAAGCACCGCATCATATACGCTGAGTATGATAGCCATTGAGATGTTTGACTCAGCGCGCTTTTGAACCACTGAGCCATCTCGCTGGTCAACATGCAATCCCCATTTACCGACCTCGGAAGGATGGACGGCTGGGTTGGTCGGTGGTCAGCTACTGGGATGAAATTATGTATGCTTACGCATATGATGGTTTTTGAGTTTTGGACAGACAGTATTCAAACCATCGTGTAAGCTAACTCGGTGATCAATTGATTGATTGATTTTGCATAATGTTAGTGTGTTCCAAACTGATGATGGCTATAGAGGTTTAAACTCGTAATGACCATAGGCCTCTGTTGATGTTTTTTACGTTGATTAATTTTCTGAGATTCATTACTATGATGTTGTTAATATCTTAACATTTGTTGTTGAAATTTTGAATTAATACCCGTAAAATGTTAATTATAATGAAGGTTTTTCGCTGAATTAGTTTGATGTTCGTTAGCTTCCAATGAATGAATGAAGAATGAATGAAAAAGACAAATGAAGTCTTTTAAGAGTTAGTTTTTCTGTTATTTGGTCCCGAGGTAGCTCAGTCGGTGTAACTGCCATGTCTTGCGCTGCGGTGGCATGGTTGAAAACTCAGACCATCATGGGCGTTGCTTGAACTTAATACATACTTAATGTGTATGTGTGTCGTGTGAGGGGATAAGATACATTTTTCTAAGAGATAAGAGAGTTTGATTACAAGTGTAGAATAACATGTAACTGAGCTGCATTATAACGTATAAAAAAATGAATTTTTGATAAAAGTAAAATAATTAAAACATGTCCGTCATTAGAGAGAAAAATGTTTTAGATTTGATTAGTTATTCACAATATGCAATTACTTACAATTATCGAATTATAAAGTTAAATGTTTTTATAAAATTGTTTTGGAAATATATATTCAACTGCATTTTAATTTCTGTTTATTCGTTCATAAATTTATTAATTTATCAACATAGGCTTATACGAACTATGGAAAAGTGGTCGATACAAAAGTTATTCTCCCAATTTACTCGTTGATCTAATTGCCAGGATACTAGCTCTGGTGCCGCCATGGACGAGGGTTTACAGAGTTCAAAGGTTTATTTACATTAACTTGATATTGGATGTTGATATGAAAAGAACAAAAATGTACAAAATTTTTGCTATTGTTTTATACATCTCATTAAAGGCTTGGCTCGGTTTGTTGGCAATTAAAAAATGTCAGGGTTTTCTGAAAAATTGGTTTAAACGTTATGTATTTTATTTATTTTATATATTGAAATATGAACTGTTGAAAAAAAATTGCAGTTCTAAAATTCTAAAAAAAATTTAAAGCATCGTTTCTATCATACTTACGTCCTGGGCATGATATAAAATTGCATCCACGCTGCCTTGCGTGCTTTTGAGCAAAAGGCTTATAACTGGTGGTTGTCGTTAGGATGGGTGTCCGGATGTAAAAACTTTTCCCCAAATTATTCCTATGCCATCACAAAGAAAAACAACGGCCCCTATTCCCCAGCCGGCCTTAAGTGATCAAGGGGTGCCAAGAATCCCTGGGAAGTTGGAACACCTCATAACATGTAAACACATAACACGCAAATTGATTTCTTCGCTGTCAAGCAACAATACCGAGGCTATTCAAATATGTCAAAGTTATACTTGGTGAATCGTGTGTCGCCCAACATAGACTCCTTGTGGCAGACCTGGTTATCGAACTGTCAAAACATAAGTCTAAACAAATGCATCGGAGAATCAAAACGTGGAAGCTGAAAAGCAATATTCATCGAGAAAAATTTCAACAGATTGTCGCAACACAGTAAGACCACCAATCGCAAGCCAGCACAGATTGGAGTACATACAAAACCGTTTTGATAAACGCTGCAACTACAGTTGTGGGAAAACATGTACAAAACGTCGGCATGAACGGGACCGAAGAGACCATCACCCAGTTGTGAGCTGTATATTTATTAAAAGAACTCAGCTTTTGCATAAAAAACACTATTTTATATCAAAAAAAGGTCGCCAGCCTAATTTTGGCAACGCTTCCACAAATCTTGGCCCCCTGTCCAAATTTGAAAAAAATTAAACTTTTAAACATTTTTAAAATTTTGTCCCACCCCTTGTCAACGTTGTCTAGATACGCCACTGGCAGTACTAGATGATTTTTGATCGACCAAGAATTTTTTCTGAAGTGTCTTTCCGTCTGATATGGTTAACTATAGATTTTCAATGTTGGTATAGTGGTTTCTACAGAAGAATCAGAATTTATTCGAGATTTTACAAAGGTAAAATTTTTGGTCGATCAAAAATCATCTAGTACTTACTGCCAGTGGCGGATCTAGACATTTATTGTGTTTAAGAAAAATATAATAAAAGTATGTAAACGTTATTTTCTCACCCAAATTGATGTCTATTAATTCATGTTATTAGGTTTTCTTTTCAAATATTGAGTGTTAATTGATTACATTATGCAGAGACATACCAATGCCGTTAGTAAGTTCTGGAGTTGAACGTGGCAACCTCCGAGAGTTAGCCCTAGCACGTATACAAGATTTAGGCAAGTCATCATCATGAATTATTAATTTACTTCGATTGACCTCTATCAACCCCGGCGTTTTGTAAATGGCGTTTTATTAAAATTGTTTTTATTACAGTATCCTTACTTAACTATCTTAGATTATTGTTGTGTTGTGTATATTTATATGGTATTGGTCTAATGGTTAAAGGCACTTTGAACTGCCTCGCAGGGACAGAGTCAAATAGG